ACAATGGCATCCTCAGCCGATTGGACGTAAGCGGAGTGGGCAACACTGATCTGGTTCTTAATGAGCTTCCTAAAATTACTGAACTGATCATAAGAAAACTTAGTACCGTCACGTTTCCAGTTCCTTCTTGCTATGTCCTTCTTCTTGATATTAAGTATAATTTCACGTGTGAACCATGGGGGATACGAAAACATTTTATTTTTACATTTAGGGACATGGACCTCAAATATGTTATTGATAACTGAATACAAGGCGGTACAAGCGACATCAACATTAACTGCACTGATCACCTCCGTCCAATTAACATCTTGCAAGGCTGTGTACATTTCAGGAAAGTTAGCTTTGCGAAAGTTAAACCGTGGAGAATATGCAAATGGGAATTTCGTTGGAGATCCGGATGTAATGAATTCCATGATCAGTGCAGGATGATGAACGTCCTCTTTAACAGAAGGTGTATTATCTCTGAGGACTTCTATTTCGATATTTCCTAAACTTAAATCCAGAATTCGACCATTTATATTTGGAATGTTATTAAAGTTAGTGAAATCTAAAAACGAAATAAAGTTGCTCATTAATTGAGTGAGTGTATTAACAGATTCTGCAATAAACTTGTGAAAACATTTCACTTTCCGCGCTTGTTAGGTGAATAACTATTGCGTGATGAGAACATTACGCACTCGGGTTTGTCAAATGCACGTCTTGAGAGTTGCAAAGATTGCTGGGGAAAAGACAAAATTTCTCTAAAACGTCAATGTTATGTCGATGAAAATAATCTCTATTAAGATAAAATATGTCTAATAAATCAAACTGATCAATAAATTGGCACGTATCATTACCGAAAAAGCGCTTAAAGTGTCTGATTGGCATCAATCAAACGAATTATCGAAAGAGATCGATGTCGGGGGATTACCAGGCATTTCCCGCGCTCCGATGCTAATTCCACCACTAGGGATCGCGTGACTGGTTTATTCTTTGGAAATTAACTGCGTTGAGGGCTGATAGGTCAGGGTGGAGGTTCACCGACTCTAATCGGATTGTTGCTGCCAAACACGACAAGGGTGCCAACCTGTGGGTTGGGCCTCTTAATTCAAAATTTTAAAAACCTATCGAATTATTCATTAACATTGGATGGATGGGGAAATAAATAAATATCTATCGGAATCTCGGTACAATATGGGCTACAATACTGGAACTGCAGACAATATTGTTAGAACGTAAAATCAGCACATGACAACAACACTAGCATTTCGTGATTTTGCTAAGGCATTCGATACTCGGTTTTTTCGATTCTTGTATCAATACGACTTGTGGTTTCTTAACGCATCGCACTGAAAGAGTTACAATTGATATAGAGATGCCTCCTAAGTGTGACATTTCATCTGGAGAGCCCCAAGGTTCTGTATTTGGACCCTTGTTATAGTTTGTTCGATGAACAGACGCCCCACAATATGATTTTCCAATATCCCAGCCCAAACGTAAATTTTTTCTTGTCACTGTCAACAAAAAATAACAAAACAAGTTTTTATCGCTGTTGCTGTGGATACAGCAGGGAATTACAATTATTTGTAGAGATATGCATGTTAGTGGGTTTGTGCTCAAGTAATTATTAAATGTACCACCATTTTGTAGTAGGTAAAGGTATTGACTTTATATTCTAGGTTTATAAAGTACTCGTCAGGAGCTTCAAAATGATGTGCCACAAGACCCCCGTTTTTATATAATTTTTTTCCAAGATGCCGCCCAGTGACCATCTTGACATTTTCATCTGTCAATTTTACTCTAAAATATCGCACTAATTTCATTATCGCAAGTCTTAATTTTTTGAATTGACCCATTCAGGGAGTATTAGAGAAAAGCACTGCATGTCTCTGACTCGCACACATTCCTTAAACACTGTATATACAACTTCTAGCTAATGACTCTCAAATTTATAATCACCTCCATAGTAGCGGTACTCAAATCGCGGAATATGGAATCAAAGAAGACATGAAATCACTAAACCTTCAAGAAATCATGCTTAAAACAATATCAATTCTAGTTTCCTCTCGCGGTTAAAGTCAAAAGCATGGAAATTCCTTTTGATGGGTTCATACCTCAAGTAAATTTACTAAAAACTGCTTTCCGAACTTACGTCAATTATATCTCAATAAACGAATTCTCCATCATCAAACTAAAAAAATCGAATGCTGATCAATAATTATGTCCAAAATTACTTACTGTGATATAGTTCAAATCCACTATCATATACCTCTTCCAAGTTTACTAAAAATTCAAATCTCATGTTGCAGACCAATAAATATTTTGAAAAAATATGATCATATAAGCGGTTCTTTGAGAGACGGGATGGTTGAAAGTGAGAGGGCTATATAAGTTATTCCTATTAACTTACATTCATAACCTCTTATTATTATTGTTATTATTATTAAATATGTCTAGTAGGTGCGTAGTATTGCCAGGAGGCGTATAAATAAACTAATTCCAAAAGATAAGCCCAAACCTTAAAACAAAAATTTCCCAAAAATGGACAGAAGCCTTCACTGATTTTCAAAAATTATAAAGCTTTTTCGATATTGGCATTTTACAAGTTCTAACGAACAAACAGACCTACAGACAAACAGATAATTGAATTACACATTCTGCTACTGATACTATTTTCAAAGCTCCAGCTATTTCTTATTACTTATTCAATAATAAAAAACTTGCAAACATCGCGATTCAATAGAGCCATTACGAAAACGTTATATCTCAAGAAAATACAAATAAATACGATCAGAATATTCATTACACGTTCCGTTCCGATTATCTACATCCAGGAACACCTAAATTAAGTATGTATTGACTTCAATAGTTCATAAATACGAACATTTTATCCATTAGTCGAGCATATATATTTACTTTCCCTGTGTCAGTTGACATTTCTATTTAGAGATAGCCGTATAATGCATAGCTACTGTACAGATCAATAAATAAGTTGAAGAGTACCCCGAGGTAGTACCAGTCGATGGGACAATGGTATTTTTTGAATGGGTGACTCTCCAAGCCCATTGTGGGTTGCCCAGGTGTTAAGAAAGTTTGCGTGCTGCAAAAATGGACCACCTACGAGCGTACGTTCGGTAGTAAGGTACTATATTTATGGGGAGATTAGTACCAGCAAATTAAGATGGACTTAAGCAACACGAAAGTTGACTTGAGTATTATGAGATAGCAAATTTTATTATGTCTCACGATACACGAACAAAAACCTGCAAGATATCTTGCATCGTCATTGAAAAACGAATTAAAACAGTGTGTTTTCAAAAAAGTAACAAGCTGGTCTACCTATAATACCCTATTGACAGAAGTAGCTTGTGTCGACATATTCCTAACATACCAATGATGATGTTATATTTTTTCTCTTTAGTAGTTGGAAACACCTTTACTTATATAATTTATGATGTTAAGACGACGTTGAGTCGATAGATTCACGATTTGTATGTTGCTCCGATGAGTTCCCCCGCAGTCTTCTGTGAGCCAAAGCTTGAAGCTTGAATTTTTCGAGTATTTTTTTATATGGTAAATGTCTTGCTATAAAAAGTTTGTTTCGTTTCGAGATTTGAATCCCGGCTAAAATGCAGTGTTTTCTGTATACCGACCGAGTTCGCTGGGCTAAATCCGTTTCTATCTGTTCTGTTAATTTTTCCTATGGCGTGTCTGAAATTGACGGTATTATATGCGCGATATATTATAATATAACCATAGATGTGCTTTCACGGATTTGCAGTAATGGAGCTAGGTTAATGGCCATTTCAATAGTCCATTAACATTTAAGGCTGATTTGGCATGTAACTTTGTGTACCACGTGTTGCTTTTCCAGTTTATATTCAGGATGTCGGATAAAAGATCAAAAAGATATATTAATGTAAAGTTCGAAAATGAGATATACCGAATATAAATACGAGTTGACCTTTCTCAGCACAAGGAACAAGTATAGGAATCGTCTAATATAATATAGGCCAACGGCAATACCTACTAATTGTCAATATTGCCGAGATTGAAGATCATAAATACAATTGCTTACGAGAAATACGAGACAAAAGAAAATTTTGGAAAAGTGACGATTTATTTCTCAACATAATCTCGTTTTCTGGAACTCTATTGCGATAGTGGCGCCTTTGAGCGGTGAGACTAAGTACTTATTGAACGGCCCTCGTATAGGCTCAAAAGTCATTCATTGAATTAGTGGTAGGATCAGATGCTCGGTATATGATGAGCACTCTGTTATACTAACCTAAATCGTAGCATCGAGGTCTGCCTTAAAAGCAATATAAAACGTGGTGTGGTTAAACACCATATAATTTTGTATCTCTTATGTGTCATTACAATGAAACTCGTAAGCCGTTATATTGATATGGATTACCATATAATCCCATGTTTATCTCTAGCATCAAGGTAGACGCACCTATTGTTCAAATATTCCATCGTATCAATAGTAGTTGAAATTTATTATAGTTTCACCGAAGAAAATTTTCATGTTTGTCCCATTTTCCTAAAAGTGGACCACGCCTGTCCATAGATTTTTCGTTCACTTTTGTTCACCTTTGACACTTTTTTCCGGCCTTGTAGTACCAACACTCCACTACTCCACAAGCCATCTTAAGGTAACTGTTATAATAAACCAGCTCCAGCGATGAGGTGTATCTGTTAATATTGCAACCCGCGTGCGCGATATAGACAACACACAACACAACATACATGGCTCGGAATTAATTTTTTGTTGGTATCTCGACACGCTAGCCACTCGGTAACCCTGACTTCCTGGGCACTGGGGGAAAAGAAGAAAAATACGCAGAAAATTCGCTAAGACTGACACGTGCCCCCTGGAAGCCGTAGTTTTTCTTTTTATTATTCCTAGTACAAAATCGCACGGTAGTGATAAAAACGCAATTTTGAAGCGACAATGCTCCGATTCGGTAGCGTCAACGGGCAAGTCAATTTTAAGATGACTTTTTCTCATGTTTCAGGTCACGGGGGTGTCAACCAACTAGGCGGCGTCTTCGTGAACGGTCGGCCACTTCCTGACGTCGTTCGACAACGGATCGTCGAATTGGCCCACAACGGAGTCCGACCCTGCGACATATCCAGGCAACTCAGGGTGTCGCACGGATGCGTATCCAAAATACTCTCTAGGTAAGTTATTCTTACTGCTTAAACGTGTTAGCCAATCCATTTTTTATAAACCGATGGAACACCAACCGGCGGCGAAAAATATACCTTTGCAGATTATGCATTCTTGCCGGCTATGCGCTCATTTAGGTTTAGGGTATCTATCGACATACATGGCGCCTATGTGGCACATGCAAGGGTGATCACTCGTGACAATATTATCTACAGAAGTAACTTTATTAGCGTTCTCTTCTCGCCGTTCTGGATCGTTTCCATGGCTTCTTGGCTTCCCTGTCCTTGGCCATCCGAATACGACACCAATCTGAGCTCTTCAAAACACATGAAAGTACCATATTATCCCCAATATGATCTTTGTTAAGCTTCTCCTCTCAGCGTTCAGCATATTTCCTATGGCTTCTTGGCTTCCACCGGCCTTGGTCCTACGCTACTGGGGCGTTCATGAAGCAAACCCCGAAGAAGCTAGCAGACACATCACAGCGACATATTCTTTCTAGACGTAACTTAATGAGTTCCTTCCAACGTCCTCTCACCGTTCAGGGTCTTCTTTACGACTCTTTGGCTTTTCAGGTCCTTGGCCCTTCGTATACGCCGCTCAGAAGCCTTTTATAAGAAAAGAACAGGCTACCAGAGATATATTTATAAATATAATTATTTAAGCGTCTCTTCTTACCGTTCAGGATCTTTCCCATGGTTTGTTGGGCTCCCCTGTCCTTGGCCATCCAAATACGACACTAATGTGAGGTCTTCAAAAGAAAACCGAATAGGCCAGCAGACACATGAAAGTTCCATATTATCTGCTACAGGAACATTGTTAACCTGTTGACACAACAAAGCACCATAATAGCTGCAAACTACTATCTGCCTCTCCCCCCCGGCATCATCCATTGTGTCCACTTCTTGGCTTCTGGCTTCCTCTCTTATACGCCACTGATCCGAGCCTTTCATAAAAGACAACCCCGAAAAGGCTAGCAGAGACACATGAAAGCACCATATTCTCCGCAGTAGTAACTTTATTAGCCGCCTCCCCTCTCTATTCTGCGTCCCCGTCTTGGCTTCCCCTATCCTTGGCTTCTTGGCTCCCCGCTGTTTTCCGGCCCCGGCTGGCGGCACTCAGCGGGACCAGCTAAAGCGATCATTCGACCGACTGGTAATGTTTTCCCGTGACGCTTTTTCTTCTCCTTAGACCGCCCTTCCTTCCCCGAAATATGATAGTCCTGTCAACAAGCTCAAAAGAATCAGAATACTTACTATGAGACACACATGACGAGCGCACATGGATGTCTGTCTGTAAAACAGCGGAGTCCTTCCCAACGGTACTCTACACTATGTGGAAGTAACCGTTAGGCATGAGATCATCAGAGAGGCGACCTTGTCACTCAACAGCAACGAAGCCTTCCGGTCCGGACTTGTCTCCTGCCTTTGTTCTCAAGAGATGTGGAGCGGAGCTTGCTCCAGTTTTTTCGCGTCTCTTCCAGATACCTTACGGATGCGGTGCTTTCCCAAGGAACTGAAAATGTGCCTAAGTCCATCTCGTCACAAAAAAGGATCCAGACCGATCCTACAGGCTTATAGTTCTGCATCATATCTGGCTCTGACAGTGTTCCTATGACATATCAACGACCTCCTTTCTTGTACGATCAATCCTATCCACAGCCTTGCCTCTACAGGGGAGCTGGTGAGGAGAAGACATAACAGCTGCTCTATTTAGTCTCCGGTGGAGAGACCCCAGAGCAAAGCTAAGTTCAGAGCCCTACTTGGAATCTTAAATTGGACGTATAATTTTTGAGATTTGGGGACTACTCGTCACGCAGCGGCCCTGAGGACGAGCCCCGTTTGCCTAGAGGGTAAAGATGGAAGTGCCTGGAACCTACTTTTTCTTCCAGCGAAATAGTGAAGGTAATGACGTCAATCCTCATAAAGTGGATCCTGTTTCTAACATTGTAACGTTGTTAGAGGCGACATGCCCCTTCTGCAGACAGTAGAAACCACAAGTCGGAGAGCTTCATGCAAGGTCCTGTGTCAAGGCCATGGAGTGTGATTGAAAGATCAAGGCTGGACACAGTGCTTTAGAAAGTTTATATGAAGATCACAATAGATCCATCTGGGTCACAGTGACGTTAAGGCTTGCAAGTCAACCCCTTTATTTTGTAATCTGTGATGTTGTGATACTCACGAATTTCAGCCAAGCAGTGGTTTCGAAGATATGAGTCATGTAGGGAACCTTCATATGGAACTATCTCCTGATCAAAAGGAATCTGAGCGAGACACATCATTGGTTCCAATTAAGTGTCAGCGGTTAGCCTCTCGGTTCTTCCTACCCGAAGTGTGAGAGTCTTCAAAACTTGAATACCGATTGAAACCCTTGGACCATCCGTCAGCAAATGCTGGGAGAAGACCATCACAATCCCGTGATATCCTTTCCAGGTAGATTAGTTTACTAGACTATGGAATATGACCGAAAAAGATGAGCTTATTTCAGCGGGTTGTGGACTGGCACGGGGATAATGCATTTATCATGTGGAGCAGGAGCTTGGTGAAAAACTTATGCGACCTCCATTGTGTCCAAGCTTGTTTTGCGGTGTTGCACAAGCACTACAATGGCGGAGGAAATACATGGAAACAGACAGAAGGAGATAAAATTATGAGCTTAGCTTTATATCTGTTTGGTTATTCAGTTCAAAAGTCGGATAGGTTTTTTGCCCTGGTATCTGGGCTTCTGCTGTTTGGGTATATAAAATGAAGAAAATACATTAAGGCTGAAGAATGGAATCGTTCCAGAGCTGATATGGTTGAGTTAAAGAGCATAGTACCAATTTAGACTCAAAAGTTATGATGCTAAATGTAAGACAGCTAGGGGAACATGTATGACACATCTGAGAAATCTGTTCAGTATAAGCATTCATTTTTTTAATGGAATGGACTGCGATGGGGATATTGTTGAGGGGTGCTGTCGTAATGCGTCCTCCTTATGGCAATTGTAATCGAATTATTGGCGAGAAATATGGCAAGGGTGGTGGAATATTATGAACACATGGCTGTCACAAATGATATTGTAACATTGAAGAAAAGAGGAATCAAGCGAATTGACTTGATGTTTCCTACGATTCACGATTATTCTGCTACCACATTCTGTGTGTGTGTGTGTGGGATGAAAAAATCGAAGGTATGTGACTTGATTATACAGGGTGTCCCAGAAGTCGACGTCAAGCCGAAACCGAGTGATAGGCAAAGTCATAACAGCTATCAGAAAAATATTTAAAAAAATTTTATGTATGTGTTTTGAAAATTATAGATCTTTGAAAAAAATATAGAAATTTCACACCCTACGGCAGTCTGTCAACTCCTGTTACTACAAATGTCAACTTTTTTTGGATTTTATTTTTACAATGTAATGATGAATAATGCATCTTCAAACTGGTGTCTCAACCTTACTGCCAACTTTTCTCGTTCTGGAAAAATTGCCACTTATTTTCCAACCAAGTATTCCAAAGTAAAACTTTGCTCAACTTTAACTGGCTGTACTGGAAAAAAATGTACTACGAGAGTTTGGCAAGTAACCTTAAAAGTTGGCACATTTAATAACGATTTCAAAATGGTATAACACTTAGAAGATTACTCGTTAACTTATGCACAATTTTTATTTGAAAAAAACTGATGAAAATTTTTCAAAATTTCCTAATTAAACAGCGATTATGAAAACGCACAAGGACCCTTAAGGATAACTGTTTGCACAACAGTGGGCGTCAAAATGCTGCTGATGATGATTTACTTTTACAGCAAATGCTCAAACTGTTTTTCTTCAGCCGCAATACACGCTCGACATCTTCTTAAAAAAGATCGGGTTATTAAACGAGCGAATCCACGGTTATTAACAAACTCAGCTGCTTCCAGTAGTCCATGTTGACTATATATGTCGGAAATTAGGCAACAAGGTCGTGTATTTTCGTAGAATTTGTAAAAATCTCAGTTCCTGATGCAGAAAGGTAGTCAATAACAATGTTTCCTTATTTTACTTATTGTGCGTCTCTTTTGATTATATGCACAAATGACGAAAAACAAAGGTTTGCGGATTTTGTTAAATTGTAAATTTTAAAAATACACCAAATCATTCAAGTTTCAAATTCAATTCTTTTATATAGAGCTATCAATAATCCGGCTTCACACTAAACTTGAAGAGATTTTAAAAAAATGCAAAGATACGTCACATCAAAAGAAAATTTCTATTTTCAAAGATTTGAATCTAATTGCTTCAAAAAAATCAATGTTTGTTGGCGGTCTACAAATGTACAGCAACCTGCCTATTAATGTGAAAACAACTCCTAATGCAATTATTTTTGAAAAAAGATTTCGGAGAGACTATTTTGATTCAATGTGACGACAACTTTGTAAATTTAACACAATTTTTTGTAAATTATATTTATTATTGTCTGAGGCAGCTTAAGGCTAAATAAATCCTTTTTTATTCTAGTCTATAAGTACAACATAGTTTTTGTTTTTTGTGCGTTTATTACATCAATAAAATAATTCTACCCCCTATTGACTATCCCGAATTACCAAAGGAGCGCCCGCTATTATTTCAACTCTCTTTGATGGGGTGGCATCGGGAATTGCGCCCCCTTTTGGCAGCTTTAACCGAATTACGGCAGAAATTTGATACGGTCGTCACAGCAAAGCCGCCCCCAACCCCTATAAATATGACCGCTAATAAATCCGAATCGTTTTATAATTATCATACTCCGGGACCGGAGTTTAATTGGATTTGTTTAATTTGGGGTTGCGATGGAAGATAAATTGCATTCTGTGGCTGGATGTGGATCACTCTGTGTAGCGCCCATGGTAATATGATGATAAAGTGACATAAGGGATGCTCGTATACCTACTCCGCTTTTAGCTCAAAAGTTTCATTCTTTTGTTAACATGATGAGAGCTTAGTAGTATTACATCGTTTTCGATGTTTTCATTATTGCCATTAAATAATATGAGAGGTTAGCATCGTGTTCATT